AAACAAGTAAAGTAAGAATTTTTTGAGATACTTCAATTGCATTATAAATTTATATACAAAAATTTATTATTTTAAAATTAATTTATCTACCAAATTCTAAATATTGTAAATCCTTAATTAATAAAAATAATTTTTTATATGACAAATTCAAAAATAAAATCATATGATTAGTTACATTACTTAATAAGTCATGGTCAACATTGAGTTTTAATTATTAAAAAAAAAATCAAAAATATATAATATTTCATAATGTAGATTCAAATTAAGGTATAATATATTTTTTATAAATATACATTCACTTAAATTAATGTAATAAAATATTTTTTAAATTTTTTAAAAATTTGTAGATTCGATCTATTGATTAAGAACTATTAATTTAATAGTTAAAAATTGTTAAAATTAAATATTGATTATAAGTTATTCAGTGAAGTAACTTAATAATGAGTTACTCTTAGAGTAAGTGCATCCATTCTCAATATTATACGTTAATTTGAATCTATATAATAAGAAATCATATACTCACTACAAGAAATGTTATATAAAATAACATACAAAAAATGTCACTATAAGTATAATATATATAAGTATATATCTATTTTACATATAATTACACATAATTTTAGTGTTGATTTTGAATGAGATTTAATAACATATTTTGTTTGTCACTATAGTCTATATTTACTTTTTAACAATATAACAACATATATTGTATTTATTATATGAGTTAAAATAGCTTTTAGTAACACATATTGTATCATTATAAGATGTGTGTCACTATATGAAGATTTTCTTATAATAATTTTTCAAATTCTTTAAAAAGTTGTATAATTAATTTATTCATCAAGAACTATTAAGTGAATCATTGGAATTGATCATAAATTATTGAACGGAGTAACTCAATAATGAGTTACTCTTACAATAAGTGAATCTCTTCCCAATATTATATGTTAATTTGAATCTATATAATGAAGTATTATATACTTTTCAAATTCTTTAAAAAATTGTAGACTTAATTTATTTATTAAAAATTATTAATTTAACAATTAGAAATTATTAAAATTTAATGTTGATCATGAATTATTGAGTGGAGGAGTAACTCAACAATGAGTTAATCAAATTACATAAGTGTAATTTTTACAACTATTACATTATGTAATAAGTTTATTTAAAAAATGAATTTTGTGAATTTAACCGTTGAATTAAAATTTTATATTATCTTGAATATGTATGTCAAATTTTTTTAAAATTAAATAACAATAAAAAAGAAATCATGTTACTCATATTTTAGTATAATTTAAAATGAATATATTAAATCACGTTGTTTATATCTTAGTTTAGTTGAATCAAGACTTTTTATTTTCTAAATCCACAAGTATGACAAATGGAATTTGTTAGTTATATCATAAAAATAAATAAATAAATTTGTTGACACTAAAATAAGTATTACAAACATAGATGTCCAATACATATGATATATAACTCAGTCCTTGTTTGATGCAAAAATATTATGTTTAAAACAAAACATTAAAATAAATTGACTAAGATTTGAACATATATAAAATAATTCTCTTTGATGATATTTATGTTTTCTTACACAAATTCAAATTCATTTGTGGTTCACACTTGACATACAAGTTAACTTCATTGTGATAAAATTCTTTATTCAACATAATTCAAAAGCATTAATTCATTCTTCTTTATTAGATATTGACGAAATAATGATATTAAAAAAACTTGAATAATGAACATGAATAATACTTATAAATCATAAATATACTTATTATTTTTAAAAGATTAGACTTGATTGTTTTTAAGTTTTTATGAATATTTTAGGGGAATAAAATAAAATTTAGAATAGTTAAAGAACAATAATAAATTACAATTTTTTTAAAAATTTATGGATTTCTAGTTTAAGTTCACATAAAATATCATTATTGGATATCAATATCATTATTTTGAAAAGATTATGATGATAGTTTATTAACTAATGATTTGTTGTAGATACAACCTATTAGCTAATGTAGAAATAATATGTTATTATATTATAGTTGCAATTATTAGTTTACAATTATGGTTTAAGGAACACATTATGCACCATAAGAATTACTTATTGAAGCATTTCAAGAATTGTGTTTAAAACATATTTAAATTTACATTCAAGTATATAAATGATAATCATATACTTAGAAAATGAAAATGTCTCGTGCGAATACATGAATATCTTACTAATTATATATTAAAAGTGAATTTCGTCCGTTCAACCTTTTAATTATAATTTTATATCTTATTAAATATTTATGGCAAATTTTATTAAAATTAAACAATAATAAATAATCAAATTATTCATAGCTTAATATATTTAATATATATATATATATATATATATATATATATATATTAATTTTGATCTATATAAATGAAATATAAAATAAATTTATATTAATATAAATTTTGTATATATAATTTAAGTATAAAAAACTCTCGATCTAATATTGAATTTTAAGAAAACATAATTCAAATGAAAGATATAAAACAATAGAATAGTTAGCAAAAAAAAAAAAACTTAATTATGTGCAATTTAATCTTTCCCATTTTAGTTATATAAAATTAAAATCTTTCTTATGTATTATAGAAGCTAAGATACTTATTTAGTTTATGTACGGAAAATTAAGGGACAGTGGAGCCCCACAATTAGATTCATGAGGTGATTTTTCCAAAGACATCAGTGTTCAAGACCATATGTGAAATGATCGAAGGCAAGTCGATGTGGATCATCTATTTCCTTTCATTAATGCATGATTTCCTTTCTTTTCTTTGACTAAATTAAGAGGTAAAGAAGTTGGAATATGTGGTTAAATTTGAGACACGGATTTCATAATACAGTGATGTATAGTTACACCAAGCACAATATAGCACAAATTAATTAGAGGATTTTGAATCAGTGTATCTCATAACTCTTAATTTGAGCACTTTGAGTTCATGATGCACAATTTATTTGTCTTCCTCGTGATGCACTAGACCCATGCGACCCACAAATTAAGTAACAAACTTTGTGTTACAGAAAATAAATATCTAAGTTTTAATGGCATGAACAAGTAGGAGATACTTTGTACATGCATAGGTTGTGAGTGAATGAGTCATGTCTTCTTGTCTTATTGACTTTCCATAATAATTTGCTCGACAATTTCTTGCAAAGCTAGCTAGATGTTTGTCGTGTTACGATCTTCCCAAGTATGTTGCGGTTCAAAATTTGCTTCATCATCCTTTACCACACAAGGGCAAAGTAGGGGCCATCGCCCATCGGTAATGAGAAAACGTTTAATGTATTCATGCTGTGTGTGGATAAGGGAGGAAATTTTCATTATAAAAAACGTGTTAATTAATGGGCCATTTATTTGTCTTCAAAAAGATTAAAAATATCTTACACTATTTTATCATGGTAAAAACTAAAGACACGACACATTAAAGAATTTACCCTCGCATACATATTATTGTTTGACACTCTATCAAGAGTAATCATTGCGGGAGACACATGAATACACAAGAGGTAACAATATTTATTTTAAGGTATATAGTTTATTTTATTAGTTGACTGACACTCTCTTCTTTTATTTTATAATTTAGTTTTTACATATCACTATTTTTCATAATATTAATTTATTTACATGTTAAAATCTATTCTCTTTTACTATTTAAACTTTTTTCCACGGTTAAAAAAGGACACAAGATCATTAATGCATATTTCAACACGAGATCATTAATACATGTTTCAACACGAGATCATTCTGCATTTCTACTAGTGATTTAAAACTCGGATCAAACCGGTCAGGCGGATCGATTGGATCGGGAATCGGTAATTCAGCCGGTCCGAATCTTAAATTGGATAGGTTATGCAGTCGACCAGTTTTTAACTGGATTGAACCGGTCAATTTTCTGGTTCAACTGGTGAATCAGTGGGTCAAACCGGTTCAACCATTTTTTTTTCTTATTTTTTTAAAAAAAAATTTAAGGGACCATAAATCACAAAAATAATAATGAAAATTGAATCTCTTAATGGAAGAGCATCTTATTAAATATAATAATGACTACTTGTTCTAATGTATTTATTTGTAAAATATACAACTTAAATAACTCTTATAGTATATTATTAATTTTAAATTATATATTTAATAATATAATATCTATGTAGATATTACATATATTATTTTGTGATATCAATTGCAAGCATATTATATATGTACATATTATTTATATTTTTAATTTGTATTAATATACAGTTTAACATGTAATTTTTTATGTATTTTTTTTACAAAATAAAAATAAAAATAATTTTAAATAAGATAGAAAAATTGAAATTTAAAATAAGATATGAATTTATTAAAATTTATAAGTATAAAATATATTTAATATAAATATTTTTTTAATATAAATAAATAAAAATCAAGTTATGCAATTCAACTAGTGACCCATCGGTTTAACCTTTGACCCACTTGACCCAGTACCTTAACCGGTTCGATGTCCGATTTTTAAAACTTTGATTTCTAATCTTATTTCATTTTATTGTGACATTATACAAATATAAAAGGGATATCATTTACTAGTGAACTAAATAAAGACACAAGTAATTAATTATTCTCATCTACAAATCTTATTAATAATATTAATCACTTGCAATTAAATTCAAGAAACTTAAATAACTCTAAATATATAAATTAAGAAAATAACTTTGTACTCTTAACAGTATATTCCTCCGTCAAATATCACAATCATCAAAAGAATAATTGTGTAACATTTAAGAAACTACATTTTTATTTACATAAATAAATCTTAAAAAACATAACCTAAAAAAATTACTTAAATTGAAGCACCCAAAAAAATAGTAATGAAGAGACAACTTAATAATGACTGAAAGAAAAAAAAGTCATACATTAAAAATTTATTATTTTTTACCTAAACAACTTTTTAGTTTTATTTATAATTTAAGTTAAATAGAATTAATATTAGGAGAGACCTTTGTTTTTTCAGAAATTATAGTAGTAGTTTGTGTCATTTAAGCACACTTTAGGAGGGATCAATACAATGTTCCCTAATTATTATAAAAATCAACAAAAATAACTTGTAATTACATGGTAGTGTAAAAAAAATTGTAAACATTTTCCTTATCTTCTAATAAATTTGATTTTAAATGCACTAAATCTGGTTTAATGATGTAATAATCTAATCCGTGGAAAAAGATGATAATATCAACAACAACAAAAATCCGCAAATAATTTAAAATCTTGGTTTTAATTTCCACACACATATATTTCATTTCACAAGTCTCAGTGTTCACACTCGGAATACTCCATCTTCTCTTTCACGAAACCAGTAGTATTACGTGCCTTGCTCTTGAGACTAGAAATACGTTTTCGGTGCCCACGACCTCGTTTGTGTTGTTCCCATTCATGTAATCCTCTAAGCACCCGATCTCCGCATGCCTGTAGACAAGAAAATTCATAAGAGAACATGTCTGAAGATGCAGAAGAACCTGTGTGCCATCGCAATTTAAAAGAAAATGATGATCTTCTTTTATAAATCATTTTACTTCTATAAGACATTAATTTTATTTTTCATCTTTTATCTCTATTAAAGATTGTTGTTGGATAATAAGAAGAGAATTTGTTAAATGAATGTTCTCTCTTACCTCTTAAACTCTCTAATTATTATTTGTCAATTTTATTGATATCAATGCATAAACTTTATTATGAAGTAATATCTTCACATCTTATCAAAATTTAATAATAAATAAGAAGGATAAAATTAGTACATTGTAACTTCGTTTTATAAACACAATAAATTAACTAACATAATTATTTCTATTGGTTGGTCCGTATAATTCGGTTAAAGTGTCTTGTAATAAAAACAGGAGAAAATATATATAATATGCAACATTGTTAAGCTGAGTATTTAATACAGTAGAAAATTTGGCATCAAAATATAAATTTTCGGTTAAACTTAATTTGCACTTAATTTTTCTCTAGTAAGTATACGTAGTTGGTGGCACATAATTGCACCAAGACTACAAAAGCAATGTTTCGCAACTTGCAACGCAGAACTGGCCATATGGATCACCTTATTCATCTTTTTCTCAAATAAGGAGGAGTATCGTTGAAGAAAGCAAACAATGCAGATCTATGTCCCATGACACGTGGATTCTAAAACAGCATACCTTGCATGTGTATTGAGTCCAGAGGTCCCTTTGGGTTATTTTCATCCCAGTATCATTTGATGTCCCAAAGGTGGATGGCGAGCTTCCGTTGTCACTCAGGAAAGATTTAACTATCTTCACAGCAGATTCAACCACTTGGCCAGTCCAAACATCTTCTGACTTGCCTAAAACATAAAATAACCAAATGAATGTAATTCAGGATATTTAATAATGATGAACGTAGAAGTTAGAAAATATGCAGGAACAAGATTAAAACAGCTTACTTGATATTGATTCCGTGGAATCAACATAATGTATGTTCCAACCAAACAATGTTTGCAGTCTACTGACCATCCTCTTCTGTCATGAACAAAGCTTCAGTATCAATCTCAGACTTAAGTTTCTGCACTAACTCTAGCCAATTCAACGTAGAAGGGCTTAACAAATGACACGAATGAATATTGACCAATTATATTATTTTTCCCTTCTACTTAACATGGTCCTTAGAGATAATATGTTATATAGCTCACAAGAGACGGCGAAGCACTGAAAAAAACTAACAATAACTCTACGAAGAGTATTGTAGCTAAAACAAAGAAATACTGATATTGTACAGAGTTATGCCCGGTGAATTAAATGCTCTAGAAAAAGAACAAAAGGCATTTCAAGCTTTTATGTCAATATTCAGATGAAGACTGCAGTGGTACCGGTAATTTTCTATTACATGTGAGATTAATCAGAAAAATGACATTTTGAGTTTCCATGCACACCCAGCCAAAGAAATTTTCATTCAAGAATGCTTGTTTAAGGAAGTGACAAAGCAAATTACATTATTTTTACCTGACGGCGAACAAGTCTCCGGGTATTAAGCTTTACTTTTTCAATTGCTTCTTCCAAAAGAATTGTGGATTCAGTATTAGAGGAAGATCTCACCACCTCCATCAAATTACCATTACACAATTTCTCACCCTTTTCTAAGACTGATCCTTCAATCAATTCCCTCTCTTTTTCACAGATGTCTTTGACAGCACAAATTCTAAGAAGAAGCTGAAATTCACGGACACCAATGGCCTGCCGCAAACCTCTACTATAATCTGCATTCAAATTATAAATGTCGTAGACCTCATTGAGTAATCCATCGTCCATCATGCAATCTACTCTCTGCTCTACATATTTGTCCAGTACAGGTAGACAAGCATCCACACATATAAAACAACAATCATATCTTAAGTTATCAACTTGACCCCACTTCTGCCCTGCCACAAGCAAGATCAATATTATTTAAAAGGGGAAACAAGAATCAACAGTCATATTGCAATAAAACATGAGCAACTGAACATCCATCTTCCATTATTAACCCACTTGATGTCCACCAATAGAACAAAATGCTTATAGTAAGGAAGGGTGATTAGTGAATCATGGAAGCAATCAGTTAACAAGACCATAACTTGTGAAAAACATTATTTATAAGAGCATATACGGACAAAGGGAAAAGAAATCATATTGAACTTCTGGTCAATCAATGATTGCCAAAGAAGAAAACAAACCTCTGCTGCCTTTCCTTGAAAAATTTTGCTAGGAAGAACACCAGTGCGAGTGTACAAACTAATATATTGATTTATCTGCAACCCAAAATAACACATGTAGACATGTCATCCCCAGTTAGACATTTCATATAAATCTTAATGTTCAGAATGAATTGAAAGGGCATATTGCTTCTAGTAGATGTACAGCACGCCAGACCTTTAAAGCCATAAAACTTGCAACAATAAGCATATTTATATATGTTTTATACTGATATATGAATTAATTTAAATAAACTGATAATGTGAATGTTTTCTATAGTTATCCAATATCATAAATTGTCATGTATATAAGATTTTTGACTTTCTAACAATTACTTTAAGGTCAAAATCTAGGGTGATATTTAATTGGATGACAACATCACTTTCTCAAACAATGCATGACATTGAAACTCTTTGCAAACAGAAAGAAAAAAAAAAAAAAAAAAACTCATGGAATTGTTGCATATGTAACTCTATCACCACAAATAAAAGGACCCTTTGAATATGTATCTAGAAGAATAAATAATCAAATCACACCCCAACCTTTCTGTGGTTATTTGGATGGATTCTATTTGCTGCAACCGGATCAATATCTTTAAGCAGGCCATAACTATTGTTTGAACCATCAATTTCACCAATGAAATTGTTATCATCTTCAAGCAGGTCATAACTATTGTTTGAACCATCAATTTCACCAATGAAATTGTTATCAGACTGCGTGACGCCTAAAAAATTACAAATGCAACAAATACCAAGTAAGTACACATTAATTCAAAAGAACCAAAAAAAAAAGAAAAAAAAAGAGCAACATACTAGGTGGATCACCCAAACAGCTTTCATCCATATCTTCTGCAGAATCATCTAGAAGAAACTGACTCACAAGAGCCTGAAGAGAATAAATTGCAAAAGTGCAAAACAAATAATAAATCAAATGTAGAACTCAGCCATATAGGTACACTACTGACCATTATAAGAAATTAAAATAAAATGAAGAACATAATGAGACACACAAAACGCATGATTCAAAATCCCAACCTGGATATAGTAATTTGTGCCCCCAACTATAACAGGCAAGTGGTTACGAGCCAATATATCATCAATGATCTGAAAATTAAGAAAACAAACAGTAATAAACTAAAACACCAAAAATTAAAATAAATAAATAAATGTTAATTCTCTTCATTCTTCAATCAGAACTAACTTCACAACCAGCGTTGAGACTTACGGGAATCGCGGAATCGCGAAACGCCTTAGCTGTGAATTCCACATTGGGGCTTACAGTGCCCAAGAGATGATGCGGCACTCCTGCAACAAATTCGAAACGATTTCAGAAAGCGAACGAGATAGGGGATGGGGAATAATCGGGTGCGGGGAGAATACGGTGGTACCGTTTTGGTGAGAGAGAGGGAGTTTGTTGGTGAGAACATCGAGGCCACGGTAGACCTGCATGGAATCGGCGTTGATGACTTCGAGAGGGAAGTGAGAGGCCAAATCAACGGCAAGCTTCGACTTCCCGGAAGCGGTGGGGCCCGTTATGACCACTACCTTTGGTCGTTCTCCATTGCTAGGGTTTGAAGTTACTGTTCTCTCTGTCGCCATTGTAACCTTTCTTTCACTCTACGTTTCTCTTCCTAATAGCAGCTTTGTGTATTAAGGTTTCAATGAAAATATTGAACTTTTTTTTTCTAGGGTTTCAATATATTTTGTCATTCTGAGTTAATAAAATATCTATAGTGAAAAGTTCAAAATTTATCTGTTTATGTATCGATATTTATTTAAGATATTAATATTTTCTTAACATATAACTGTGTGGTTTAGTGGTAGGGGTTGATTTTTTTTAAAACTAGATTGGATAAGGCTAGATCGTAAAATAAATAGATTTTTTTTTTAATTTATATTCAGTTCATTATAGATTACGTAGATTTGAAAAAATAAACTTTTAAAAATAAAAATACATAAATTTAGAAGAAAAAATATTATTTTTAAACTAAAATCTATCATATTAAAATTTACTAAGATTTGAAATAATCTTAAAGTATTAAGCCTAAAAATATTATCAATATTTATATAATAATTTTAAACTCTCATTAATAAAAGCATGAAAATGTTTTTGAAATAATTCAAATAATAAATATACATCAATTAAACATAATTTTAATATTTTAATAATTTTAAAATTTAAATACACAACCAAATATTAAAGTTTTCATATCTTAAAAATTAATTAGTGAAATATGCAAACTAATCTGCCTTTTCATGAATTAAGTTTATCAGATCTGTTAGAATTTACGGATCAAACTTAAAAGTTAAATATGAATATAAAAATTAAAAGAAATTGATTTATTATTCGTGAGATTCATAAACTTAACATATTGGTTCACAAATTCAAGTTCATCTGCCTATTCTTATAATTATGGTCGGAAAATGAGGAAAGAAATCAAGATACAAAGTGTTAAAAAGAAGAAAACAAAAATCAAGAGAAAAAATAATACAAATCCTATTAATACATTAAAAGTTTCTTTTACTTAAATTTTCTATATAAAATTTTTTATTAATCTAAAAATATTAGACACTTCATTCACATATATCAAAATTGACATAATATATACTTTTAAAAATATAATAAAATATAAATAATTTAATTATCTTATTATTGTTGTTGTTATTATTTAATTTTAACAAAATTTAAAATAATATTATTGATAATATGAAGTTATGATTTAATAAATGAATTATCAAAATTTACCTTTAATTAATACAATATTTTTTTACACCAAACCTTCAATAAAATTTTATTAACCGTATAGCTGGTAAAAATTATACTGATTCATCATCAAGATTTTCTTTTCTATGCTTTCTAGCTCTCTCTTTTGACTTGCGTTCTAGTGATTGAATTTGATTGAGATGGGAGTCTTGTTGATGATGAGGAATAATCAGAGTAGTGCGAAGAGGTTTACTCGCAATGGCACATGATGATTTGTGTAGTGACGCATGAATCATGATGGTTGCAGCTTGGTGTGGATGGAGGCAATTTGATGAAACAATGTTGTAGTTGAGGGATGACACAGATGATTTCAATGGTAAAATCAGGAATGACATTGATACTTTCATTTCAATGGTTTCAGCGAGTATAGGGACTTCGTTGGTTCAAATTAATAATGGGTGATGTGATGAGGGAAAAATTGCAATTCTGATCGAAAGATGACAAAGGGGTGGTGATGGTTTCGATTTTGCAACGAAGTTGATGGTGGAAAAAAAAATGAGTCAAACATGCATTATGAACAAAAAGATACAGACCAGAAACACACACAGTTCCTTTCTACATAAAATTAATGTACAAATCATTTTTACTGTGTTAGAAATCTGGAAGCGTAGGTGTACATTTGGTATGTGCTGGTGCAAAATATTGAGCAATAGAAAAACTCTTTCAACGTTACTAAAATAGTAAACTTCTGCATTCGTGACATCAATTTGGTAAGTTGAAGTGAAAGCGTGGATTAGTTTAACTAGATCTTTCCGAGTATTCAAGTTGCATTTAATGATAGAATCAGCACATCTCAAATAAAATGACAAAAACTTATGTCATGTTCAGAATTTAGGTGTCTAATGCACATTTCCTATTTAGGTCCCCAAAATACAAAGAAATCACAAATTATGCCACATACAACCACATGATTCTAGTTACATCACACTGAATCCAAAAGTAAGGTTACTTGTATTAGCATTTCAGTGAAGGGTATCTACGTTTTTGCTTAACTCCTCCAGCTTCTTCATCCTCAACCTCTCACTTTCAGTCACCAGCTACCCCAAAGTTCACAAAATATCAAGGGAAAAAGACAAGTTAGAAAACAAAATTAGAAAGTTTTACAAACACTCCAATCATCAAAGACTTTTTCTTACCTCCATTAATTTAGTAACAAGTTGAGCTTTTTCCTTGTTTTTCTCATTGAAAGCTTCAAGGGCTTCCTTGTATTCTCTCTCCTGTGATCCCCCAAAAAAAGAGAAAAAATTAAAGATACTAATCCAACTAAAAAATAATTAAAATATGTTAGTTTATTGTTTTCACTTTTCAAAAACTGTTTTCTGTTTTTTAAAATTTATTGGTCTCCTTAGCCCATTTGAAAGCATAATTCTCATACTAATTGATTTGAGTGTTCATCCGTAAAAAAAAAAAAAAAAAAGAGAAAATATCTATTTATTGGTTTTTAAAAGAGTTATTTTGGAAACAAATTTTAAAACTTAATAGATTTCGTATGAGAAATTGGATGGTAAATAATGTGTAATTGTTGTAAAGTTTTTAAAACAAGATGAGAAATTTCTGCTTTTTTTTCTGGGCATAATGATGCAAAAGATGTAGGGCCCGATAGTCCACCTGTTCCACCATCATAGTATGATATTGTCCGCTTTGGGCCCAAGCCCGCACGGTTTTGTTTTTGGGCTCCTTCCCAAAAGGCCTCATACTATGTGGAATGGTGGACACTTATAAACTAGCCAATGTTCCTTCATTTTACCGATGTGGGACTTGGGATGAATCCCAACAAACCTCCCCTCAGACCAAGGACCACATGTCTCGTGATCTCCTCCCCTCAAGCGATAATCCGTCACCATCTTGTAGGGCCCGATAGTCCACCTGTTCCACCATCATAGTATGATATTGTCCGCTTTGGGCCCAAGCCCGCACGGTTTTGTTTTTGGGCTCCTTCCCAAAAGGCCTCATACTATGTGGAATGGTGGACACTTATAAACTAGCCAATGTTCCTTCATTTTACCGATGTGGGACTTGGGATGAATCCCAACAAAAGAAGCCTTGCATGAGGAGTTTGAAATCTCCCATTGAACCAAATGGATCATATTCTACGTGGACATTTAAACACAATTATTAAGAATGATCACCTTAACCACTAAATAATCATGTCCACTTGATGAGACAACATGGGGCCAAGAAAGCATGTATGGTTAATTGATTAAATTCTATGCGGTGCTCAAGTGCTTGTATCAAAAGCTGTGTAAGTAAAACATATGGGGATCACTTTGCCACCTTGAGCAAATCCTATGGCCTAAGTAAAGGTTTTAGTAATGTCAAAAGCAAACAACTGGTAAACAGTTGGAAAACCTCACCTTTCTCTGGCAGGTTTGGCCCAGTGGCTTTAACTCTTTGTTAACACTGTCTATCTTCTTTCGAACTATTGAAACTTCCTTCCTCAACGGATCTGTGAGACCCTCAAGTTCCTAGAACATGATATAAAGTTTTTCAAGAAATCAATTACTATTCAACACTGGTGACATGTGGGTAAGAAAAAGGAAAAATAACCAATAGACTACACATGACACAACAATTGCCTTTGAGTTTCTGATTATCCTCACTTCTTGCTCAAAAAGCTTGAGAGAAAATTAAAAGGAAACATAATTTTCTAATCAGACTAACCTGCTTGATTTACAAATTGAAATAGATTCTATACTTTTTTTCTCCATACCTTAAGTATATATTGATTAATATGTAAAACATATACATGAACCAAGGACTAAAAAGAACAATGAAAGCTTAGGCTAAACCAAAAGCAACATCAAAGGGAAAGAATCAGTATTGTGACTTGTGAGACTTACTTCTCTAATCTCAGCCAAGCGTTTTGTTTCCTCCTCAACTCGACCAAGATAAGCATGGACCTTATCCCTCACCTCCATTTTTCTCCTCTCAATTTCTTCTTCCTTTGCTCTGAACATTGCCAAAGCTGATCTTGACATCTCCTCTTCCTTGTCATCCCTCATTGGACTCTGGTTGCAGTTGATCATCCCTGAGTTCCTCACTCGCTGCACATTTGGTTGTTGTTGTTGTTGCTGCTGCTGCTGCTCATAGGACTGTTTTGGTGTTGCCATTATTGCACCACAAACTACAACACCCTTTTCCTCTCCCAAGCCAGTTTTCTCTCTTCTTTTTCTCTTTTCTTGGAATGATGGCTCTCTTTCTCCTGAGGTGCTTATAAACAGGACTTGCTTTTAGGGAGTGTGAGACTAAGTAGTTTATTTTTGTTAACAAACTATAGAATAAGCCCAAATGACAGATATGCTTGTTAAAAGCTATGAAGTTAACAGTGGAATTATCTTCTCTAAACAAATACTTTCTTGGTGTTTTTCTTTTTCCTGCCGCCTTTACTCACAAGCCAACTTGATTATATGGCACCATCAAAGTTCTACTAGTATTGGATTTGGAAGGTGTTATACGTCGAGAGTATAAATGTTAAATCTTTGACTACACTTCTCCGTTTTATTATTCCATGAAAACTTAGTGAAGAATCTTGATGAGAGTGCTTTGGTTAGGTAGCAATTTTCTTAAGTTGGTATATTGGCAAATTCAGCTAACTACTGCTCCTCACTATGGCATCAATAGTTTATGTATGGACCAGAAATTTTAGAAAGACACATGATGTAAATATAAATATACCAGCCACTCCACCGTAACGCCTAGAATCATGTTCTCCTTTTACCATTTATATGACAATCCCTTAACTAATTACTTAAAATAAAATTGACAGGTAAGTTTTTTTTTTAAGTTTCTAAGGGGTGTTGGTTATTATAAGGTGCTTTCTTTAAGATAGAAAGGTGCTTGGAGCAGAAGTTTTGGTAGGGGAGTGAACAGAAAGGGCTCACCAACTGCTACAAAAAAGCATGAACTTGGGAGTCTTAGGAAGCAAGACAGAGTAGGAGAATTGGCTGTAGCCAGTTGCCTTAATAAAAAAATTATTACCCATATGGCTGACCAGCCCAAAAATGCATTTTGGAGCAGAAAGTGAGATACCCTCACAGCTTGGCGCAATAAGAAAGCTTATGTTCCAAATAATTGATCTCTCACATTACTGGGCCAAGCACTATTGAATTCCACTAATGAGTCTAGGTGTGAAAACACAGCATTATTATAGAATCTTAATCCATTTTTAAGGTAATGTTTTCCTATACGTGACGGCCCTTTTAATCGAGTTAATATAAGGAATGTATCCGAGATTTTTAAAATTTCTTTAACAAACACATAAGAAAAATGATTTTAAGTAGGGACATGTACAACACGAGTAAATACATGAAAGAGTTGATGGTGAATACTTTCCAGGCTGACATACGATTCTTCATTATTATTCGTCATAGGTTTTTTTGGTACATCGTCATTGATTAATTTGTAGATTATCCAATTAGGATCTTTCTTTAAGTTAATCATACACTTATATGGTTCTTAAACCCTTTGAGAGAACCCTACTTTCTGATGTATACTCAGAAGTCAGAAAAGTTTAAAAGCCAATCCAGCTCTGTCAAGTGTGGTGTGTAAATTCAAATATCTGCAAAAATTATGCTGAACTTACTGAGGCATTTGAATGTTATATACCCCACAGTTCACCCACCCAAAAAATTATAGTTTCCAGCTTAGTGGTTGTTGTCCTCTTGGTTGTGGGTGTTGACTGACCGTGAACTGCAAAGTATCTGAGTTTTGATCAACAACATTGAATATCTGTGCTCTATAACTGCTGCGACTAAGAGAGCAGCACCTACTGGTTGACGTACGTAATGTGTCGGACTTTGAATTGCCCAGGCCCACCAGGTCAACGTATCATTTTTCCACTGTAACTGTATTTATGTAGTAATAGTTTTGCTTTTGCCTAATTATAATATGAATTCGTGTGCTGCTTGTGCAGTGCACATTTAGTATATGATGATCAAACAAAACTGCGAAGACAAACTTGCACCCCTAAATTTTTAACTGGGGTAAATTTATGCTTATTTTTTCCGACTGAAGTTCGTGCTTTTATAATTTATCTCCCTCTGAAGCAAACTGATTTCTCCTTTAACAACAAAATTGCTTATTGTCAATTACCAAAGAATTTTCTTTTCCGTTAATGTTTTGTGCTTCTTAGTTCTAACCGAGAATATGTAGTTCTTCCCTGAGAATACTCCAGACAGAACACAACACAATCTTCCAAATCTCAAGTTTCCCATTTTCTTGCATTGTAGGCCAAACACCACACAAAACCAAGAGAAAATTTGGGTCGATTAAAGGACGCAATAAGCCCATATTTTCAAAGAGCTACTTTCAGAAGATAGGTTTTCTAGCTACAATATTTGACTAGAAAAAGTTACAGAATAGCTCAGCTAACTAAATTTTGGAGAATGTGTTTATGTAATTTTTTACTCAAAAGTTTCGTTATAATTTGACGAATTGTGAGTTACACGATTCTAATGATTTTGTTTAGTTCAGTTAGAAATCTCCAAATCATGGACTCATGGTACGGGCAAACCCTACAAGAAAGAATCTTTTATCCAAAAACCATGGTTTGGGGTGGCCTCTCCAATTGAAAACCAAACATGCTTCAAGACTAAACACAAATGCTACGAGATCCAAACCGCACTTTGATCCAACTTCTTTACCCGTTTCACATGTTCCTGTCACCCACCAATAGCTTAAGGCTCTCACCTTTTAAACCCCAAACATGGAAGGACATGCCAGCTTATGTTTGGTTACCTATACGGAAATGGAACCAAAACAAGCGAGCACTACCGGTCAGGCAATTCCACTTGATTATCTACCATGCAAAAAAGCAAACTGAAACGTTTAACAAAGCTTAGAAAACCATTGAGCTTGTCTAGCGCATGCAAAGCAAGGAGAAGTATAACCTAAAAGGAATAGTCAACACACAGCAAGTACTAAACCCGAATCGGAAACCAGCAATTTGAGCTAATTCACTCGATTGATTATATAAAACATACAAAAAAAATAATACACTTTCATTCAAGTTATAAACCCCCAATGATGGTCAAAGTCTGCAACTACGCAATTTTATTAGGAGAAAAAACATAAATGCTAAAAAAACCACTTGTCCATATTAAGAAGGTTCTGCTTGGCTTATGTGGCAAAACACCCACATCCTCAATCCGAAATTCCCATGTCATTCTTTCTTTCCGATTCCATGTGACATATTATAGATCCCTCGTCCCTGTTAAAAAAACACACAAAACAGTGTCCATAAAATATGATTAGAAGCAAATGGAAAGTTGGAGATACACTGATAATTTTAATCTGATGAAGTCAACAGAGACAAGTGAAAATTGATATTACAATTGAACTTACAATCAGATAAAGTGATGATGCAGCCAAAGCCAGTGGTATGGCCACGGACGTAACCTTATCAAGGGGTCCCTTCAAGTAGGTATGCTTGGGGATATTCTGGAAATATTTTTGCTTCTCAATAAGCTTCTCACGTGGTCTGAATGGTGCTTCTTCTGACATCCTGCACACCATGGCCAATGATTATCTCATAATGTTTTTTCCTCAACAATATAAAAGAAGGAAAAAGAAAGCAAACATGGCATGAAATGAATTGAAACAGAACTTGTATCATGCCCACCCCCCCCCCCCCCCCCCCCTATTTCTTCGTCACAAACACAACAAATTGGAGAAGTGGTTGATGTCGTGAACTAGTGCCAACTCAAATGACTCAATCATGATTTGTATCAGACAAATGAGTGAACAAAAATATGTATAATACAATATTGTACAGTTTAATATTAATCCAGTACAAACAATTTCCAATTTCACAACATAATATCTAACATGACATATTAGAAAAGCTTTACATGTCCAATTAAGCAGGCTTTCACACTCCAGTAAGTACCAAACTAGCTCTTGCTATATTCTCCTCAATCATCACCACTCCAAAGTCTCCAGCCTAAATGCAAATGGGGTTGTATCCTATAAACTCTAGCTAGTGCAAGTGTTAATGATTGTGCACCAAGCACAACGCCTCACATTTGCATATAATGGAAGAATTGGGGTGAGCGAGAGTGCAAAAACCCTAGATGGGACCAGCAGTAATCACATGGGGGGCAAAGTACAAATATGAGGTGATGGAACTGCAAATGGAGGAGGGAGTTAGTTATTTATTATTATTATTAACGATTCTATTGGAAAAAACTTAAATTTCACATTGACTAGAGATAGTGGCTGATAAGAAGAGCTTATTAAGCTTAGGCGCCACTCACCTTGCAATGTTTTATGTGAATGAGTTAAGCCCTCCAAAAATTAAGAGATTTATCAATTATCTAGGCAAAGACTATGTTATGTGCCAAAAGAACATGAACGGAATTAACATAACCAAGTCCTTGCCACTACCTAGGAACAGAGATATGCCTAACCAACCCTAATGTCATTTTACACTCGTTGAATATAACTTCACATTTCATAATTCAACAGAAAAATAAACAAATACACCCCTACCCCAACCCCCCCCCCCCCAAAAAAAAAAAAACACACACACACACACATAAAAGAAAACAAAAAATGAAAATTAAATTGAAGCATCAATTTGACTTGCAATGAAAATAGGTAAAACACCAAACCATTCAGATTTAAGCGAAAAGACACAATCGAATACAACACAAAGCTGGCCTATAATAAAACGATCATCACCAATAAAGTACACAATTTGAAAACGCTTCAGACACGGGAATTCGGCAAAAAAATTATTAAAAATATCATTTTTATTACAGAAAACAAATAAATAAATAAAAACGAAACAACGAGATCTGGGAAAAGTGAGTGTGTGAGCTTACTTGGATAAAGGCGATGGGTCAGGTAATGGATTGTGAGATTTGAGGCTTAGAAGAAATGACGAACGAGCTCTCTAGCAATCTAGGGTCTTGAGATTGGGGAAGATGAACCGTTTTTTATAGAGGCTCCGTTTATCTTTCTGTTGACCCGATCCGAACCGGATAACTCGTCGCAACTTCCACGTATTTTCATATTTATTTCTCACAAATCATAATTAATACTACACTTTATATTACAAAAAAAATAATAATTAATGGTAATAAACTTGTATTATTTTTTTACTAATGTTCTAAAATTTTACCTTATTATAATTGAAAATTAAAAAGAAAAAAAACACTGATCTAATATTTGAATTTATTTTGGCATTGAAAAAAACAAAAAAAAAATATTATATTATTAAAAAATTATAAGTGTTTAAATATTATATTAAAAGTAAATCAATAAATTGAAAAGTAAGAATAATATTAAAATTAATAAAAATCAGTATTTATAATATATTAAAAGTTTAAAAATATAAAAGCAAACAATATGTAATTTATTTATTTATATAACATGATAATACGTTACTTAATTAAATTATATACCTAAATAATTTAATCATTTTCATTTAAAATAATTTTTTGTTAATTTAGATATTTTAATATTTTCCATTAAACAAACTATAATTATTGATAGAGATTAAAAATGAACACTGTAAAAATCTCAGGGATTTAAAATTAACAAAACTTTTACTTTGACTAAAAGGAAACAAAATGATATTTACAAAAACTTAAAACATATTTAAACTTGAGGTTTATATTCATATCCAACTAACTAGAATTAATGGTAGAGGAAAAAAAAAAGGAGAAAATGTCAAGAATACAAAACTTTTGCTTAAACTTTTTTTTTTTTTTTACAGGAACTTTGCTTGAACTAAAACAAGACAAAATATATCTGCATAAACTTAAAGTTTATATTCGTATCCAAATAGCAACATTTTTCTTGAGCAAATTAATTATAATAATTAAATGATTTATAATATTATTTAATTTTAGACCTTCTTGAGCAAGTGAAGGGGTTTATTTCATGTTGCTGGAATCCTATATATGAAGTTTGAGAAATTTAGGATTGTAACTTTGTAAAGTTGAGTGTTAAGGTGATAAAACGAGTTTGGGGTGATGTATTCAACCCACCAATTCATTTTGGCCTTCTCCATTTAGGTAAATAATAAAACTAAAAATAGTGTAAAATTGAGTTTCTATTTCATTTTAATTTTATTGTTAGGGTAAAATAAGAAATTAAAAAAAAATAGTGTAAAATAGGTGCCTAAATTATTTTTAAGAATAAAATTTACATTACATAATTACAATTGGAAAATTATATTTTTTTTCAACTCTCTAAACCAGACGTTATCAATGTTATCTATTATTCTTTTTTAATTATATTATTTGGTCAAAGTATTTGTTGATATCTAATTTCTCAAAAAGAAAAAAAAAAACTAATTAACTAATTTTAGTAAGGCTTTTTCTCCAATCACGATTAAAATCTTTTTTAAATGTCTAAAATCTTATTACACTGAAACCCAGAACTGATTAGTATCTATTATTTAAATGTGCATTTCAAACATTATTCTCGTAAAAAAATTCTAATCATCTGAAACTCATTTTCTTTTATTTTTATTTTTATATTTAACTTTCTTAATTATTTACACCTTGCAACGAATAGTTTTATATTTATAACTCTAAATAAATTATTTTAATTTAATATTTATTTTAAAAATCAGTGACTTAAAATAAATTTATATAACAACCTAACTATTTATTAAAAAATTTATTATAAATTTAAAAATATAATTTATATATTTAAATTTATTTTATATTATAATTTTTTTAATTAATTATATAAAACTAGTGAGATCAAGACACTTAGTACCTTTGTATTTTAATAAAAGTGTTTAAGAATTAATAATATTTGTTAGATCAATTGTTGTTATGGTTGATCCTTAAATTTAAGGTCTTGAGTTCGAGTTTTATAAATATGTATACCAAATTAGGTTATCGTCTTTATATATACTAGAGGGGTCGAGGCACTTCGTGCCTCTAATAATTATACACAAAAAAATATTAGAAATTGTAGAAGATATAAGAATTTTTTTTTTTACTTCAAGGATATAAAGGTCCACTAAAAAATAGATACCAAAAGGATAGTTACTAAAATGTATCCCCTTTATAATAAGTATAAATTAGTGGAATTAAAACACTTTATGCATCGTGTCTATAAATTATTAATATTTATTAAATCAACTAATGTTGGGCTTGTAACTTCGACTTGGTCCCTACACTGCACGACACAACTATTAGCATCAAAAAAATATTTAACTTAAGACTATAATATGTATTATATTGCGTGTTTATTAAGGAAATCAACTAAATAAATAGGTGCAATATAAATACAATAATCCAATAAATGTAAAGTATACATTCTAAGTTGTCAGTCAAACAATTGTAATTGCTTATACAAATCTACCACCACTGAGTAGTCAACAAAATATCTTCCAACTCCTATGCCACTAGGTAGTCCCCACAACATCTCTCTAGCCTTATCCTTGTCCTGTTTTCATACCACGTACGATCATCGTACATGAAAACACACAAAGATAAGCTAGAGGAAAAAAAATAACACACACACATATATATATATACACACATAAGGCATCACGATATACAACACAAATTAACACAACAACTTCAAAGTTAACACAACAACACATTTCAACATAGCACATGGACAACACAATCAACTCAACACATCATATGTTCAACACAACAACTATATCCATCGTCACGCATTTCAACTAAGACATCCCCTACAACATAGGATGAACAATTTAAGTAGTTTGACCCTATCGAACTAACAACACAGGGTGATTTTTTTTTTGTTTGTTAGATCAACAACAACTTCATTATAAATCCACAACACAACAACTCGATTACTTAGATGTTGTCACTTAAACAATGAAGTATAATACTATTGTCAAGGTAGAACAGTTGGATATGGGTCTACCATGACATTAGCTAACTTAACCAAGTCTCATATGGGATTAACCCATCAACTACCCTCTAAATACAAAAACTTTTCGTACTCAATTAGAACTAAGTTTTTGATTTTATACTTTACTCGATTGGTCACTTCTAATCAGTATAACTCAACCTACCTCTTATATTGTGGTCGCTTAATACATGTGTGTCTCGACATTGCCCATACACAACACTAACAAAGTCCTAAAGGAAAAACAACACAACATCCACTTCAACTCACCAATAAAGGTTTTCAAAAAATTGGACTATCAGAGTACCACAACACAATATCCATACAATGAGATATGTAACTTTTGAAAACCTTTTATCTAGTTCTACGTAGTCAAAACAACTCAACAACACAACAATTCTTCATATATTCAACATACTAACAAAATTAACACACAATTTTACATCTCACAACTCAATCATCACAATTCATATTCAACTTTGTAATCAACTAACATCTCCACAACACATTGTGTATTTAACTAAACTACACAACCAATATACAACATGGTCAACACATATGGTCATCATATTGTCATATAACAACTTAAATAAGCAAGAAATCAACACTTCATCAACCATATCATCATGTTTTTCTTCACACAACTAATGCCTGACGCTCCTCACCTTATGCTCGGTGCCATCCAGGCAATGAGCTCTCAGCCTCATCCATGTCCAACCTACGCAATCCACACCTAGTGTGGCTAAGCTAGAGGCCTTTGAGATCTTACGTAAGGCATTGTAAAACACCATGTACAGCCCCATCTCAAGTAGAGAGTCTTTGCTTAAGTATTGCCCAACGTCATTGCCTCGATGCTTGACAAAACTAAGAGCTTTTGCTTAACCACGTTGGGCACCTCTCAACTTTTGGTTCGGTGTCACCAAGTTAGAGAGCTCCTAAGGCTTCCATACCCAACACCTTTCAACCACACTCGACGTCGTTCCAATATGAGACGAGTCTCTCTCCTTTCACTTGATGCCACCAATTTTTCTTTTAGCTTGATCGAGATAAAGAACTTCAAGTTAGAACAACGCCTAGTGAGTTGAAGGCATGCTCGACGCAACATCAAATTTTTACACATGTAAAACCTAATTTTGAACCACAACTTGAAATCCAACAAGTTTTCAACACATGCAATACAAATCAACAAACATATACATTACAATCAACAAAAAGGATGCACTTAATTTCAACATGCAAACATATTTTGCAAAGAATCCATGAGTTTGTCCAACAACCCAAACACCCCATTTTCAACTTGTTTTTCTTTTTGAATTCATCAACACAACCACACATAGTGTGATTCCTTACTACACATGACTTATAAATGGTTTTACCACCCTCAGCTCATCCAAAAACACATGTATTTATAGCTTCCTTTACCTTAGGGTAGCTCGTGTCAAAGGTAGAAGAGAAAAAGATAAAGACTTCACAACTCTACTATGAATCAACCACATGAATCTGGCTACTCCTGTCTTGAATCCGACAACAACACAACTTAAATGAGACTCAAAGGAAGAAAAGGAAAAGATTTGTGAGGAAAAGGAGCTCACAAACCAAAGACATTTTCTCTAAAATCCTCTATTTAGAAAGTTGAGGAAAACGAGATTATGAGACTTTATTCAAAACAGAAATCATATATATTTTTTCCTTCATGGTCAAACTAAGTCTCTACCCTGAAGAATTCCCTCCTCTCAACACTACTGAAGTTCTAAAAGATTTCTTACATCCAAAATCCTTCAACACTGATAACTCAACTTCACAACATAAAACGATTAAGATTAATATGACATTATCACAATTTATGATGTTTAATTTTTAAATTTTAAGATCTTGAATTTGAATCTTAATTTTAACTAATTTTAATATTATTTTTATTATTTAAATTTTTTTAAAATTAATAAAAAACTGTATCACTTTATAATAGGTAAATGTATAAATTTATAACTATTAATAAAAAAAATATTTTTAAATAATTACTTTGATCTTTATTTTTTAAAACTTTTTTGTTCATTCAATTATACAATAATTTCTTATGAATAAGGAATAAAATAAAAAAATATATATTAAAAAAATATAAT